ACAAGGGGCAGAAGGGGATTCCTTGTTTTGGGATAAGTTGTAATGTTAGTGTCCTTGTATCTTTGTATTTTCTTCTTTCCTTTCTTGAAGTTCTTTGCGACTCWTGGAAGATAAGTGTGTTTGTCTTCCACTTGTAAATTTTCTACTGATGAATTAATGAAAGTGTTATTGATAAAAAAAAAAATATTTTGCACATGCATACGTTTACTGTGATTGAAATGTGTTAAATGGACATATCAACATGAGTTTTACTTTAGTGCCAAGTCGAACAATTTTTGTGTCACGTACCTGTCTGGTACTTCTCTATGCTTTGCCCTAGCCATTAATATTTTATTTAGGTTTAGGTTGAGCCGTTGAGTGGGCATGAATGGATAGAGGGTGTTTATTTGCGTGCATGCCTATGTTATTGTGCTTGTCTATTCTTTGGTAATCTATTTCCAACTTCTGAATGTGGTGAGATTTTACTAGTTGCTAGAGTCAGGGGGTCAGGTTGGATTGAACTGATACTTAACAGAAGAGCAAAGGTCCTGAGGGGCTGTTCTATTGTCTGTTCAACAGAGAGGAACAACAAGATATTAAGGAGGTTTCCCACACAAAAGAAGTAATTGAGAACATATCGGTAAAGGTGGCACATTGGGCTAATGCTTTGCCCATGTTCATCTCTGTTTCATTTAAGAGGATGGTCTAATGTAGCAAACTGCTCCACTACATGGATGGCATCTTTTTTATTTTTTGCAAGACTCCCAGTGGCAATCGAGTAAATCTCAACTTTGATGGGAGAAGCATGGGATATCCAGGGATGTCAAGCATTGGTGGTGTATCTAGGAACAGCAGTGGTGAAGTTTTGGCATTAATGTAGCAAACTGCTCCACTACAAGCATAGCAAGTATATTTTTGGAAGGTTCCATGGTGGCAATCAAGAAAAACTCAACTTTGATGGGAGCAGTATGGGGAATCCAGGGATGTTGGGCATTGGTGGGGTATTTAGAAATAGAAATTGTGAAGTTCTGGTGTTGAATGTGTTGGACTGCTGATAACGCAGTAGTTGAGATGGTCACATGGCATCCCTCCGTTTAGGAGGTGTGGGATCTAACCCGTAGAACAGCAAGCTCTCTGTGGTATACTGACATCTGCCTGATGAGCCAAATGGTTCGACTGTGGGGGTCAATGACAGATTGAAAACTCTATTCTGAACTGCAATTCATTAAACTTCTCAGCATTACTTGACATTAAAATGTTGAGGATTATGACTCATTGAATAGATCCTAGCTAAGAGATTGCCCAGACCAAAATATGTAATTTGGTAAATTTTAACCATCTCTTGCTCTGCATTTTTTGAACACTGAACTTTTTGTCATTTGAATGAAACAGTAATACCAACTGATGGTGGCTCGGTAGGATCTGACTCATAGCAGAGACTTTTGGAATCAAATACTGCTGCCACCAGGGTTGGGGTGGTCAAGGGGATGGGGGAGTATGGCTACCCCCTGTTGTGTGTCCCCATGAAGCAAAATAAAATAAAAAAATAAAACAACAGAGATGTTTAAGTTTGATTGTAATATTCTGCTCATAAATCCCGAGGTCCATTCATGAGGGGGTCCAGCCCTTGGAATGTGCAACACATCGCAACTTATGGGGGTTTAGACCGATTTTATGGGCCCGTAGCTCTTCTGCAAGATTTTTCCTAACAAGGTTATTAATTTTTCATAGTACGGGATGGGATAATTGAAATTTTGCGAACTGCTTACTGGAATTTCCAGGGATTCATCTGGCAGGAACATGCGTCTGTTGCTTTCATCTGCCATACTACGTCTTCTTGGAAGCCGGGTAGTGCACGAGGATGCAGATTTATCCTATCCCACACAAAGAAGTTCTCCATCCAAAAGGGAGGTGGAATCACCAATTGAACCGTCAGCAGTCATATCATTGGACCTCTGCGGTGACAGTCTATTTGATTGGTTACTGGCTATGCTGCATGGGTTGTTGAGCAGTTGCAAGCCAAGTTGGCTGAAGCCCAAGTCTGTCTCCAAATCAACCGTCAAATCTCCTAGGGATATATCTGTTTTTGATCGGGAGGCAGTAGAAAGTTTGCAGGTACAATATGATCCATATCCATTTGTTTAGTAATAATTATTTAATCATTTAGTTCCCTATTTACATGAATATATTCCTAGTTTAGAAAGCTTTTCAAAGAAGTGGTTTCTTGTTTTTCTTTCTTGTGCAGAATGAGCTGGATCGCATGCAACTGCCTGAGTCCATAAGATGGCGCCTCCAAGCTGCGATGCCAATACTCCCTCCCTGCTCATCATTCTCCATTTCTTGTCAGATGCCTGCAGTCTCAACTGCAGCTCTCGCTCTGCTGCAATCTAGCTTCTCAGTTCCTATGTTCCAACATGGAACTTCAAATCTGCCCCAGAAGAACCAAGTTCCTTCTGCACGAACACCTGCAAGCATACCTGGGAAGTCCAAGCCATTGCCGAGTCAGGATCAAGACATGGAAATTGACCCATGGACACTCTTGGAAGATGGAACAAGCTCGGGACCCTCTTCAAATAACTGCAGTCTGGGTGCCACTGCTGATCATTCAAATCTTAAGGCTTGCAGCTGGCTAAGAGGGGCAGTTAGAGTGAGAAGAACCGACCTTACTTATATTGGGGCCGTGGATGATGACAGCTGACTACGTAACTGTTATTATTTGTCCAGAATTTGGCAGTTCTTTTGCAGGTGATGAATGGCTTAACACACCTCTGCATTGAGATTTGAGACTGCTGGTGCTATGCTCTTCAGGTCCTTGCTTTGATGTCAAGGAGGAGCTACTGGGAGGAGGGGTCATGGGTCTTTTTGATATTCCAGCCTTCTGGTCCCCAGACCTCGTCGGGAAACACTAACCCCCTTGATTGATAATTCCCCTCCACGAGGAGCCTTTGCAGGTGCCGTTCGGAGGCTGTTGTATATATAGAAATATTGTTCTATTTCCCCCCCACCAATTCATGAGGAATTGAGATCAGAAAATATCTCAAGAACGATTTGTAGTTTTGAGCTCATCGATTTCAAGTCACTGCTCTCTTTCCCTCTCACACATACACACACACCCCAGAGACACAGACACGTTGTTTTCTCTATGCAAAGGCTCTGAGGCACGGTCGATACTTAGATGTTGCACTACTTGAATTTTTGTTAACGGGCTATGGATGATGATGGCCATTTGCACTGTATCTCCAGCAACACTTTGTATGTGGCCCGATATTGTTGATTTGAAGGTTGTTAAAAAGCTTCGGTTAGAATATGATAAAAGATCCAAGAAAGCAACAACGGGATTACAAGCAATATTATTATTGTTGTCGATATTATTATTATTATTATTACTATACTATAACGTTTTCTATAATTTCTGAAAGGGTTGCTTTTATGAAATATGTTTTGCTTATTATAATTAAGATTGAAAATATCATAACATACAAGGTTCAAAATTTCGGTACGGCCTGGGATTTAGGGCAGATAAATATTGTATCAGTGGGTTACCCATACACTTGTTTTAAGGTTTTTTTTATTTTTTATTTTTTGAAAATGATTGGTTTATGTATAAAAGAATCTTGCTCTGAAAGAAAATCTAAAATAGGGTTCAACTATGATGCCTGAAATACGAAAAAAAAAAGGTTCAGAATTCCGATACACCACCCCTTCCGCACCATTGTGGTGTTCAAACTCAACTGCCTCTCCTGACATCTTTAACCCTGAAACATCAGCATGCAAAACAAAAAACAATAGTGTATTACCCAAAAAAATACAATAGTGTATTACCCTACAAAAAACAATAGTGTATTAATACTATGAAAAATGTGGCTTAAAAAAAAACTATGAACCATGTACAAGTTTCATGACATGCCTGTGACAATGTGACGTGATCATGGAGTCATGAATTTAGTGTATTCAGTCATTATTTTTCCAAGTTTCATTTTGTTTTTTTTTTTTTTTTTCGTTTTGTAAATCCAAAGGTGTCCTGCTCTACAAATTCAAATGCCATTGAGATCAAGGTGAAAATTTAGATTTTATTTTTATTATTTATATATATCGTCACTTTGGTAAACACCATATTGCCAAATTCGGACCACATAGAACCATAAACTTGCAACAATAAATATTGAAGTGCTAAAACATGCAAACTTGACACGTTTTGGCCAACTCAAATTTCATGTTTCAAACAATCCGATGAATGAAAGTTTGTTTTGGCTAAGGATACACATCAATACACTATGCTTGGATAATAAAAGAATTTATTTAAAAACTTTAAAATTTTAAAAGACTTGGTAGGACCCTTTAATACTTATATAATTAACCAAAGTAAATAAAAACAAAAAAGTATCAGTTATATCGATACACACCGATATTCATTTGAAGGTGTATGAATATTTTAATGTGGTTTTAAGTTTTAAGCTTTTAGCTACCACTTTCTTGATTTTGGCAGTCCTACCATTCAGTCTGATATCTGACAATATAAGGTGACTAAGATCTCTTTTAGTATACAAGGGTATATTTTAAATTACTAAGTGCATATAAATTTTCATCTAATGAGGAGGGTATTCTTATCATTGTATAGTTCTGTTTGTGTTTCGATGGAAATTCTGTGAGAAGGAAGGTTTAAGCTTATCGCAATTAAAAGAGCTGTCAAGGGGGTTAATGGATTGAGCTGACTTGACAAACTTGTTTGTGTCCAAGTTAAAATTGGGTCAGTTTTTTTGTTCATATGGTTGCGTTCATCAGTGGAAAATTTATCGATGTAAAGCTCAATTGATGGGTTTAATATTCTAGCGGACCATTGGAGCTTTTTTGAAGTGATAATTGATGTAAATGTGCATGGATTATCAACGAAAAAGTCAATCAATGAAAAAATTTATATCAATTTAAACCTTACAATAAAAACAAATACGTATGAAATTTTATACCTATCCGTATTTATACCGAAAATAAACACGTACAAATGGAAATCCATGATAGATTTTACATCGATTTACATTTACACCGAAAAGACGAAAACTAACATAGCCTATGATCGGAATCGGGTTTTGTTCATTCTTAATTGATTGACACCCGACCCAACTGAGCCCAGATTTCCTACTCACTTTTCTTGCCCATTCCCTACCAGCCCTGAATTGCAGCCACATGTCTTAATTCATAAGATGTGTGGCTCCAATTCATGGTGGGTAGGGAATGGATAAGAAAAGTGAGTAGGAAATCCCGAGTGTACCCAATTATATACCTGTACAGATATATGCCATTTTAACATGTCAATGCAGTATACTTAGGAGATGAGGATTAAAATACCTCTCTCTCAAGAAAAAAAAAAGGATTAAGAGAGAATTATAACAAAAAATAAATAAATAAATCAAGGAATAAATTACAGAGAGAAACCTGTAATTTTGGGGGCAGTGATACTTTTAGATTCCAGCACTTGGGTCCCCTGTTAAAAGGACTAGTAAAGATAAAGTTACGAAAATGTTCATCCAAAGTTTTTTTGTATTTTTTGTATTCTTCTGTTTTTATACTTTATTCGCTTTCTCTGTATGCAATTTTCTTCATTTTTGTTATATTTTCCCAATTTTCCTTTTATTCTAGGTTGGTGGAGAGGCATATTGGATAGCAAAACAGAGCATGGGGCGCTAAGAAATTAATGTCTCCATACACAGATGTAAGTGTTTCTATCTGGATTTTCGTTTAATTAATCAATTAATAAAAAAAGTGTTCGTGGTTGGTTTTTTCATTTAGTAAGTAGTTGATATGCAATTTAATCTTCATTGCTTTGAACTTTGAAGGAGACCAAGCCGGAATGTCTCAGACCCAAATCTCGAGCATGATTTGAATTGATCACCAGTACGCTTTTAAAAGGTAATAGCTCTCCACTTTTGTTTTGACTGTTACTACCATGTCTACTGAATCTTCTGTGAAGAACACAGATGGTCTTGCAGAAACTCCATATACAATTTAAAGCCTGAGTAGCTTCTCCATGGGGATGGATAAGTTGTTGTCGATCTGACAACCATTAGTACTGAAGCAACCTAGTACATACATATATATGTATTTTGAGTATTGGAACTATTACAACCAAGTTCATATTTTGGGAGCTTTTCTCTTGAAATCGCAGTGAAGAGTTGGACTTCAGCTTTCAAGCTGAACTTCTCTGTTGTTTGTACTAACTCTGACGTTTCATGGATTTGTCTACATAGAGGACATCCTCGACCCAAGCAGCAATGTTGAAAGCCAATCCTTCCAACACTCTTGAATAGCTTTCTAGGATGGCTTGTCCCACATCCTGCAAGCAATGATCCATCCCCATTAGACTTTCTACAGTCTACATGATATGTGATCATGAGTAACGACGACATATAAACTGCATACGCAGACTTACCCTGTTGTACTGGATCTTGCATGTATCCAATGTTGTCTGTGGCAATTCTGGGTACCTCTGTTTCAAGCATAACAACAGAGTCTCAGCTCTTGCAGCAAGTAAGTTGTTCTTCTCGGTATCAACCATCAACTCCTTGACCATTTCCCATGAGGATTTTGAGTGATTGGTGCCTGCTTTGCGTCGCCAGGTGTACATTGAGGCCTCAATTCTGTCTGCAGTCTCAAGGGCTTCATGCTCGGATGTTATATTGAGGCAATCAAGAAGATGGTCGGGGCAGAAATTAACTGTGGAATACATGTAACGATAAATTGCATCTCCCAAGCTGGCTCTTCCGCTCTGGGAACAAGCAGGAAATAAAGTTAAGTCAAGCCAAGAGCTGAAATAAAGAGTAATTCTTGCTGAAGCACTGGATGATCAAGCAGGTTTCTTTTCACCTTTGGAAGAGCTGAAATGTATGTCTCCGGGATTTCCATCTCAGCAAGAATACTGCTGTTGATAGCTATTGCTGCTTTGTGTATTTGATTTGCACAGTCACGTTTGTGCTGCAATTGTTTTCTTGACTTCTCGGAGAGGCCGCCTGGGGGAACACATGGTACCGGCAACCACCATTTCTCTTCCTTCCGCTGAATAACCCTCCGGAATGACCCTGTGGGGTTTGTGTTTAAGGGCAGGTTCCCCTCATCTACGTACCAGAACTCTGACTCCTTGAAACTCTCTAATATGTCCTTCACAAGGAAATAATCAAGGCTTCTGTGTAAGCAAATGTCTATGAACCCAGAGAGAGAGAGAGAGAGAGAGAGAGGTTGGGCCCATGGTGGTCATGGTCTGTTGTCTGTTTCTTACCAGTAGCATAGTGTCCAGTTTCTGCAGTGCAGGAAGGTTCATGGAAATATCTGATCTGGGTCTACTTGTCATCAGCTGAAGGACCACAATGAATAGTATTAAAATGATTATAAAATGAAAGAAGAGGAACCAGCACTGGAAGCACACACACCATGACACCACAGATTGTTGGTCTATGGATTATTCTCACCTCAATAGACTTGTCATCTTGATAGATTTGGCAAGAAGGGATGAATTCAACTATGTAATTGCACACAGTTAAAAGACAGTCCATCTCTCTCCTCCACATAGACTTCTTCTCTGGGAGTAGAGGTTCTAGTCTTAAGTTCTGACCAAAAACAGTAGCTGCAGGACAAAGACAAAGAAGGGGAACAGTGAGAGAGAATTTTGGTGGGAGGAGCATATCTATATGTATAACAAATTAAGGGAACAGACATCTGTCTGTATCTTTTTTTGCCGAGTTTGTACCGTAGAGGTTTGTTATGGCATTCGAGATTGCAACTGCTGTGCAGACGCCTTTCCCACTCCCGGACATGTCCTCTCCCAACAAGAGCTTAGAAAACCTTTCCTTCATCATTTCGATTTCTGGAAGCAAATTCAATTCCCACTAGTTAAAAAAAAAAAAAAAAAACTGTTTTCAGAGTTCATGAGTAGGGATTTTTTCACAAAATGAATGCAGATAAGTTAAACCCAGCTCACCGGAGTCTGAAGGCTCATGAGCATCGGATTTCTTGTCAACAACTTTGATGGGTTGCTTCGTCTCTACCAAACTCGTGATGCCAACGTCATGACTGGCGACAGATTTGGCAATTGGCCAGCCCAAAGTAGAATGCTCGTCAGAACAACTGTTGTCATCGGTGGGTTCTGAGAAAGCTGAGGTTCCAGAATTGGTCCTACAGTATCCAAATGAATCACCGCTCAAAGTAGAGTACCCGGTGGCTTCTGTGGTTGATGTATCTAACTGGTCCCCCGAGGAAGGAGAGGGATGATAACCCGGGTCATAAAGATCACCGGCGTTCGAGAAGCTATCCATCTCGAACTTCAGAGCTTGATTTTGATCCAATCCTCAGACGATCATATACTGCAATACCTCAGCAGGCTCAGTTTTCAAGACCTTACCGGAAAACCGCCATTGATACTTAAATTGGCAAGCAGTTGCTGATAAGAAAAAGGGGTAAGAACACTGAACACAAAGTGAGAAGCTTGAAGCTTAAAAAAGAGAAAGCAAAAAATTTGAACCGGGAAGAAGATTAAAACTCAAAAATGAAGTTCATACTCTGAAATCCGAGACAGATACTCTTATAAAGAGAAAAGAAAACTCTGATAAGCTCCTTTTTTGGAGTGTCAACAATCCAAACAACTTACAGAATTAGCAAGAGAAGATTTTGAATATAAAGCAAGCCGTAATAGAATTGTAGGTAGACCAAAAGCTGAGAGAACTGGAAGATTTGAAATTCAAGCTAACCGTTGCAAAAGAAAAGCAAACGGTCCCCCCTTTCTTTCCTCACACCTCTTTGAACAATTGAACTTCAACTGCTTAACGTAGCTGAGAAGGACCGTTTGAAACTGATTCCCTCCCAACAGAGTACTCTTTCTCCTCTCCTCTGCCTTTTCTTTTTCTCCAAATACTCTCATCTCACCACCGTTAACGGTGAACACGAATTTGTAGCCGTCCGATCAGAAGACATGATTCCGGTGATAGGATGAGAATGAAATAGCACACACAGAAGACTGAAGACTGAAGACTGAAGACCCACCTCCGAGTCTGAGCTGAATCCATTTATAGAAGATCTGGTCCCACACATTAAACAATAAATAATTGAATATGTCTCCCCACTCTGCAGCCACCTGTCCAAAACAAATCAGATAAGTTTAATTTAGAGTGGGGCCTAACCAATGATGGGTTCCGATTTCCTATCTTAGACACGTGGCAACTTAGTACGCCTTCACTGTAGCATCTTGCAGTGAAACCAAAAACTGGTCTATTATAACCATAAGATGCATCTCTATGAATCTATCGGTTCTGTGGTGGGCCACTTGTGATGGGCCGTGGATCAAAAACTGTAACTGTGGGACAAATCTTGGCCGTTAAACCAAAGTGGTTTCATTGATTGGCCTGTTACTGTTAGAACTTAGAATGACAATCGTGTGGTCTAATTTAAGTGCCCGTTTGGGAGGGTTTTGAGCTGCTTCTGGAGTTGTACTAATCCATGAAACCCAAAAAGTCGTGAAGCCCAACTGATAAGCTTACATGAATCCAAAAATTGACTATGCAGTGAAGTTATCATGAGTAACTTCTTGGAAGCAGCTCAGTTAATGCAGTTCAACCATTGCATAATCCTTCCCAAACAGGCTATAAGCATGTATGATCTGTCTAGTGCACAGTTGCAATGGGAATTGGAATCCCTTAAAATCGGCTTATGGTCTATTCCCTTCAACTGTTTGGTTCAGACTTAAACCAGAATCAGAATTAGAATTGACTGGAATGGACTCTCATTCTCAAAGGAGGGGGAGGAAATGACCATTCCATCAAACGGGAGAATATCATTCCACCAGAAATGACTGTATTCCAATTTTGCCCAATTAAACAGTTGATCCATTTCGATTCCAATTCAGGACCCTTATTCCTGAAAACCAAACGGACCAATAGTAGTAATGTTGCATCGCGTTTGATAGAGACCCTATAAAAATAAAAACAAAATGAGATTGCTTACGGGTAACAGTTTCCGTTTGATGATAAGCTTTGCAGATTTATTTATATAAATAAACAAATAAAAACAAGAAAAAAGTAGGAAATATTTATTATTTAACAGTATATGGAAACATGGGGGGTTGTAATTATATGTGGTAGACAAATTACAATAATAGTATAGAAAAAAAGAGTTAGGTGGATTGTGGGAAGATGAAATGGATTAGGAAGCATGTGGATTGGTAGAGCACTGAGAGTGATTGATAACCTGTAACCATTTGTTTTTGTTCATAATTCATATTCAATAAAATATAAACAGAAAAAGATAAATATGGTTAATTGGTATCATTATTTATTATTGGGATGTGGCTCAAAGTTTTGTTTATTGAGGTGGAAGAAAATTTCAAGGGGTTTTAACTGTTCAGTCTACTCTTAGGGTGGAGCTAAGATTTTTAGGGTTAAACTGAATCCTGACCGTGGATCGATGTCATATTCATGGATAGGATGCCGTTTATAGGAGGGCTATTAATAGATTAAGAGGTTGCTGTAATTTCAGATTTATGAGGGGGAATACAGTTTATTTATCCCATTTTTTTTTTTTTTCAAAAGGTTCATGAAGTGATCATGCATTCGTGCCCCCAGTCTTGTGACAGTCGAGTTTTGACTTGAGACTCTGTTAGTGGGTCGAGTAACCAATAAACCCAACTTGACCCGACCCTATTCGAATCAGGGTTAGCTCATCCTTGATTTAGTTTTGGCCTGGACTCTCATGTCAAACCCAACCCATTTGTAAACCTTTGCTCGGTATGATGCTATTACTTGTGGGATAGAAATATAGAATGGTTGGCTATCCAGAGATTTTGCTTCCATTAATAAATTGGAAATATAAAGAATGGAATTCTCCATTTGATCAATGATTATTGGTAGGGATGGTTTCAACACTCCATTCTGCAAATATGTACTTCCGCTTTTTTTTTTTATAGTGGAGACAAGTAAATGCTTTTTTATTTTGATCATTTTTTTTTAAATATTGAGTGAGGTGCTTTTAACATCCATCAATTTTCTTTTAAACCCCAAAATTTACTCCCGTTGGAGAGATAACTACCGTGAATTTTATTAATGGCGGAAATGTGTATTTCGAGGACGGAGTTGCTCATGTTGACATCTGCACTTATCCGTAGGATTCAAGGTCATTTCCCATGTAATCAAAACATTCATGAATTGGTAAAAGGGTTTTGATGAGGGCGGGTTTCGCCTTCAAATGATATTATGACATATGGCACTTCGAAACAATTAGGTGACACCCGGAACCACTTTGGTAATAACTTGCCTTAGCCAAGTTGATGGTGTCCCATCTGGCAGCCTGGCACAGGCGCGACCTGGTCCTGGCGTGAGCTGGCAGCTTGGCACAGGTGCGAGCTGACAACCTGGCACTGGCACGACGTGGTGGCCTGGCACAGGCGCGAGCTGGCGACCTGGCACAGACACCGACCTGGCGGCCTGGCCCAGGCGCGACCTGGTAGCCTGGCACAGGCGCCGACCTGGCGACCTGGCACATGCGCTGACCTAGCGACTTGCAAGATGTGCTCGCCGACGAATTCGACATGCATATCCAAACACTCTCACGATCCTTAGAAGTTGACCCACGTGTCGAACGATCCGGAGGGTGGTCAACGTGCATGGCGGTTACTTCAGGGAATCTCGGACCACTTAGACGACTTCTCAAAAATCTCGGTATGGTGCGTGAAGCCCACACCAAACAATGCCTATATAAGGACACCAACCCCAATGACATGGGGGGCAAGTAAGCAAATTCTAGCTCTTATACTTTGTGATTTTTAGCTCGCAATCTATTATGAGAGTACTGACTTAAGCATCGGAGCGACCTTGCCAGGTTAGCCACCCCGGGTCCTCTGACATTTGGTTCCTTGCAGGTCTCTAAAGAGCAATGAAGCTCATCAATCCAGCTCGGCACCTGGTAAGCCCGACACCTCACAGGCAGCTCGGCACCTGGTCCGCCCAACACCTCATAGGCAGCTCGACACCTAGGTAGCTCGGCACCTCATAGGCATCTCGGCACCTGGTCAACTCGGCACCTCATCGGCAGCTCGGCATTATAGTTAGCTCGCCACCTAGCCTACCCAGCTCGACTAAGCTCGGTAGCCAAAGTTCTCCACTTCGGCCTGAGTCATCGGCCACTTGGAAGTAGACCAAATGACGAGGTACTTAGCCAAAAAATCGATACATCACTAAAAATTGATTCATCAGGTTTCTACCATATAATTTATAAGGGAAACTTTTGGGGTTTAATATCAATAAAAGTAATATATTTAAAAAAAATTCAAAAATAGGTTAACTTTTTAAAAATAATATCAATAAAGGGAAAAACACTGTTCATCTTCTTCTTCTTGCCATTTGTTCACCAGAACTACCGTCTGCCCACCTCCGCCTCCGGCTCCGGCAACGTTGTTGGAGGTGGCCGGAGGCAAAGGTGGTGGCGGCGGCGCTGATGGTTTCTCTGTCCAACGCCGTCACCTCCGCCAACATTGCTGGAGATGGGTGGAGAAAGAGGTGGCGGTGGCGGCGGGCAGAAGAATGACCACCAGCGTCGCCGCCGCCACCTCTGCCTCCGGCAACGGGCAACAGCGGACGGCGGTGGCGGGCGACGGCTCTGGTGAACAAATGGCAAGAAGAAGATGAACAATGTTTTTGCCCTTTATTGATATTATTTTTAAAAAGTTAACCTATTTTTTAAAATTTTTTAAATATACTAAACTTTTATTGATATTAAACCCCAAAAGTTGCCCTTCAGTTAATTAGCAATTAAGGAGCATCTGAGAACCTTAGTTATAGAGACTAATGACGGAATCAAGAATCATCTGGTTATATTGTTGTATTAAGATTTAAATGGGTCCCCCAGTCCCCAGGTGTCTCGTCTTCTTTTAAGTCTGAATAGGCGGTATCAGCCCATTTAAGATACTGGTTTCTTATTGAGTTCTCTGAGAAATCAATGAAGAATCTGTTTGATCTTGACCATTAAAATCAACGAAGGAGACCTTAAGTGGGTCCTTCGATTATTGACTGGAAGGCTCTATTATGATTATCTGATATATAAAATGACAACCCATGAAAATAATTTGTTCAATTGGCAAGAAGGCATCCAAGGCCAACAACACGGATTCTGGTTCTCTGCTTAAACTGTATCATATACATTACACAAACACAACCGGCTGGGCAATACATATATTTTCATTTTCGGGGCTTAAAACTCTGTTGTCTGCGGTCTGCGCTGAATTAAATCAATAATCTCTCATCTGCTTGTGGGAAGAAACACGATGTCTGAGCCTGACATTGATCTCTTCTTCATGGCATGGGTGTCATCTTTGAGCATGTTGTATAGGAAATGGTTTCAGGTTTCAGCTATACGAATGATGAATCCTATATGGAATTGGACCTTAACTAGACACAAGAAACAAGTCTCTAATTTCTCAAGGACAGGAGTAGCCTCGTCCCTGGGATAATGTCATCTGAAGTTTGAAGTTTCAGAACATTAGGTGAATTAAATCAGGATGCAGTGGAGTTGACCTAAGGCCCCATTCATTTTTCCCCCGGGTGGGTAAGTTACTTACTCACTTAGGGGATAGGTACCTATTTCTTTTTTCATGGTCCTATGTGAACGTGAAAAACAAACATGGGAAAAGCGGTCAATGGGAACCACAGTCCCACTCTCCCCCTTTCAGCTACCCAATTGCAGTTTGTAAAAGTTACAAGAATTATTATTGTTGTGTTTGGTACCATTGCTGTTTTCACCTGAAATGTTTTAGATTGATCAATACAAATGGGCATAAACTGTTATCTGAGGCTGTTCATGCTTAAAAAAGGTATAGTTTAAAAATGTATGTCTGGGATGCAATTTGTAGAAACTCAAATTGACATTTCTTGCTCTAGGGGGCTGATAATCATTCCACCAATTTGTATTGATCCACCAAAAACATTTCAAGGAGAAACAGCAATGGTACCAAGCACAACTTATGTAAGCTCAAAGTAACATGTCTTAGTATTAATAGGCAAGATGACATGTGAGGCATCTAGGCTCCTGAGTCTCAAATCAAAATTCATTATTCTTTTGGCTATGTTATTACTTCCCATTCTTAGAATGCGCCATTTGCCCTTCCAACAAGTTTGCATCAAATAGATGACAAATTTGTAAGATCTTCCTTCCAAATGCATGAGTTGCATTTTATTATCAGCAAAGATCAAATTTAAATAAGAAGATAACATACAAATTAAGATGCTGCAGTGATTATTTTGCTTCAACCATGCTATATCCTACTGTCTTTTTCAATCCCTTCTCCTTCACCAATCCCCACAGCCTCTCAGCATCTCTCCACCGACCATGCTCAGCATATAAATTTGACAAGATAACATGATAGCTAGTATTTTGTGGGTCCAAGCTTAGAAGGCGCTTGGCTGCAAATTCTACAACCTCAATCGGCCCCTGGCTTGATCTGCAACCAGAAAGGAGAGCACCCCAAATATTTGCATCAGGTTCCACTGGCATTCTGTAAACAAATTGAAGAGCTTCTTCAATATACCCTCGTCGGCTAAGCAAATCCACCATGCAAGCATAATGTGGAAGAGTAGGAGTTATGCCATACTTCTCTTCCATGCTAGAAAACCATCCCCAACCTTCATCTATTAAACCACAGTGAGCACAGGCAGACAATACAGAAATAAAAACAATGTCATTGGGCTTTGTCCCACACTGTAACATCTTAGAGAAAGTATCAAGGGCCTCTATACCACATCCATTTATCCCATACCCGTGTATCATTGAACTCCAACAGATAAGATCTTTTGTGGGAAGCCTGTCAAACAAAGTTTTTCCTTCACTTAGCTTCCCAAATTTGCAGTAAAAATCAATCAAGGCTGACATTATATATCCATTGGATGAATACCCAACTCTTATTACATGGGCATGGATGCTCTTCCCAGGCTCTTGAGCTCCTAGTGAGGCACATGCTTGCACCAAACTAACCAAAGTGATCTTGTTAGGCTTCATGTTTGCTAATTGCATCTGTTTGAATGTATCTACAGCACAGATAGAATAACCAGCTCGGGAATAGATGGCAATCATTGCACTCCAGGCAATAAGATCTTTGTGGTGGAGATGAGTAAATAAAACCGCTGCTAAACCCACCTTACCAAAGTCCGCATACATTCTTAAAAGAGAAGTTCCAATGGAAACAAAAGCCAAGAGCCCAGATTTTAGAACGAAGCAGTGTAATCCAAGCCCAAATTTAAATTGTTCCGACTGTGAGCATGCGACCAAAACATTCCGGACAGTGATTTCATTAGGTTTGACACAAGATGATACCATATTTATGAATAAATTCAATGCTTTTCTTGGAAATCCATTCTCTATAAAGCCACAGATGATGGTGTTCCAGGAGACTATATCCTTATGCACAATCCTATTGAAAATTAAAACTGAAACCTCCAAATTTCTGCATTTTGCATACATATCTACAAGTGAGTTTTGAACATTGGTTAACGATGAGAAAACCCTTTTAAAAGAATATCCATGAATCTCTTTGCCCAAAGACAGAGCACCAAGATTACCACAAGCAGGTAGAATGCTTACGATGCTCACATGATTGGGTTCTACACCAGCATATTGCATCTTTCGGAAAATTTCTATGGCTTCAACAAATTGCCGATTCTTTGAACATGCTGTAACCATTGCACTCCATAGAACCAAATCCTTCACCGGTATCGGATCAAAGAGTTGCCTTGCAATCACCATATCATGGAGTGAATATAATCCCAGCAGGGCTGTAACGATAGACAATTCTATCTCAAATCCGAGTTTAATCACAAATCCATGAATTCCTCGAATCATGTCTTCCGAACCTAATGTTCCAACAGCGCGAATCAGACTCAAAACCGTCACGTAGTTGGGCCTCTGATCATTTTGAAGCATTACTTTAAACAACCCTATAGCCTCCTCTTGGCGATCACTCTTAGCCAAGCAAGAAATAGTTGCTGTCCATTCGAATATGCTATGCGGTTTATTTCTAATAATTTCACCAAAGATTTGGCCAGGAACTTCAAATTCTGCACAGTGCTCGTGCGGAATGTCGTAACGCAAACTAGAGTTTGACTTCTGAGTAGGACCATTTCTTTCAGAAAAAACGTCCAACAGTTTGTGGGTGCTTTTGAAAAGGGAATCAAACGCCAAGTCGCTTGAGAAGGAGATGTGGGCTTTCCATGTTTTACCGAAACATGAAAGGAAGTTAAGAAACTGTCCGGTGGGTAGGAGAGAAATTAATGGAGAGCGGATAAAGATCATCAGAGAGAGAGAGTAGCCTTCTCAACTTGGTGCAACAATGCGTCTTGCCAGGACCTCTCCAGCAGAATGTCAGCTACGCCAGGTGGCCGCTCGAACAATTTGAAATTTGAATTAGGGTCCAGACTCCGGACCCCAGAATACTTCACTTACAGTGCTCGTGGCGAGGTTTGGTGTCCAACCCTCAGTGGAAAGTAAAATGTTTGGCGGCAACTTGCGGAGGAACTGAGGAAATTGAAACTGGATCTGCTTTTCCTGTAAACCCAATGAATGAAACACCACCTGTGATTTTCCTGTAAACCCAATGAATGCACACCACCTGTTGTTCCACGAATGATTTATACAGTATTTGAAATCGTGAGTATTTATTAAATAAATGCTGTTACATAGGTGCTGCCTACCATTGAGAAGTTTCATTTTAAGATTTTTCTTGATTTTCCAAATAAATAAATACAAAACGTTTATTTAATAAACATCCACGGTTATCAAGTCAAACCGTCCTCGTAATTAACACACTGGCATATTCCTATTTAAAAAATGAGAGAATCGTTTATTGGTAGCCCATGATTTATTTACTTTTATTATTTATCTTGTAATTTATGTAGCTCATGATATAAAAACCTAAAATTTGCATTTTTTTTATTCTCTTCCTATTTCTACTCTTCATCTCTTCTTCACCCTCTCTTCCTTCTACAAACCCTAAAACTGATATTTGAACTGAACCAAAGCAACTTGAATACTTCACAAAGGGTCAATATGCTCCAAACTCTAATTCAGTTATGTGTCATTGGGTAAGTCTTCATTCTACTTTGAATAGTAATAAATTTCAACAATATAAGTTTTTTTTTTTGCTTTTTTGATATTCTCATAGTCGGTGGTAACAAATAATGGGACTTGAATCCGCATATCTACTGAGACTACCCAACAAACAGACCAACTGAGCCACCACTCTTTTAGCTACTGTTACTCTTGACAAATAATTATTATATGAGTATTTTTGATAAAAAGAATTATTGTATGATTGTGTTAAGACTTTTGAAGTTCTTACATGACTTGGGTAGATTTTGGAGTTATCATTCCTATACTAGAAATACTTTGCTTATTCACTAAATTTGAAATTCTTATATTGGATCCTTTTTCACAGTACTGTTCTTCAACTTTTCACATTGAAAAGTATAGCAATCTGTCTCCAAGAGATGTTTATTTGAGCAACTTGTCACTGGGTATGATTACTTACGTGTGTCAATTGAATCGGATTTGGTCCAATCTGATCTAGTCCATTAAAAATGGATCAGGTCCAATCCAATCGGATGAATACTTTGGATCGATCCAATTCAATGTCTGAATCATTCAAATCTATTCAAATTAGTTTTAATTTAGATTTGTTCCAAGCCAAACTTGCCCATTGGCACTTGTATTCTTATCTTCTATCAATGGATTGGATATTTGTTCAATCTAACCTAATCCAATATAATGGATGAATCAGGTCCAATCCAATCCAATAAATATTTTGAACCATTAAGTTTGGACTAGGGGTATATATGGGTCAGGTTGATTCAGATGCAAGCTTTTTAACTAATTGAACTGACTTGGTTGAATAGATGAATAGGGAATAAAAACCGATCGATTATGAGGGAAAACTGATCCAAGCATGAAGGGTGGGTTTCTCGATTTGATAGTCAGTTTGTGGGGATTTAGAGTAGCCAAAGACCATATTTTCCTAAGAAATATGAAGATATAAGTGATTTGGGTCTACAAAGTGTGTCTATAGGCTGTTTAATATGCTGGCTCTTTATTGAAAAGATAAAAGCAGTTAAGTTTCTATTTTGGTGTACAAGTTTGTAACTTCAAAATCAATGCCAAAAGGTATGTAAAGTGGATTCCAACCACCCAAATATATCAATTTATATATTAAATCATGATCGCTTCAGTTCGGTTTCGATTTTCAAATTTATAAACTAAAACTGAACCGACCACTCAAGTTGTATATTTTATCCACCCGAAACTGACCAATAACCTTGAAAAACCGACCAGATCGGGTTGGATGGGGCTGGTTTAGTCAATTTGACTGTCTTTGTGAACAACCCTAATCTAGAGTGGGCGAATTCAATATATCTTATTGATTTGTTCAATCCGTCAAAATTGATTTTGATTTGAACAGGGTCCAACCTAAAACCAGTCCATTAGCACCCCTAGGTTGATACATCAACAGTTCTTTTATTTAAGTTTATGAGAGCAATGCTTGTAGAAGTAAGCTTTTGCTTGAACGACAGGCCTAAGTAAACAGATTAAACAAAGAAACAAGGATATATTACAGTAGTTAAACTCCAGTTGAGGACATGAGGTCATGGCTTCGGGTATTGTAGGAAGACGAGTAAGTTAGAGTTTGGGGAAAAAAGACGGTTAGGAAGTAGAAGAGCAAAAAACAGGGGAGGAAATCGTTGTGTTAAGAAATAAGAAATTAAAAAAATAAACAAAAAAAAGTAAATAATACCCATTACTAAGGAGTTCAAATTAGCCCCTCATAACGTCTCACAGTACATCCCCACCGTGTATTAGGTATATCTTCCAATGATAATCTCAAAAATGATGATGTCATCATCGGGAGATGTTCTTAATACATGGCGGGAATGTGCTACAGGACGTTGTGGGGGGGTTGATTTGGTCTCATTACTAAGTTTTACAGGGGCTTTGTTAAGTATAATACACATGGGAAGATCACACATGTGCAAGAAACACGTGGCGGTCATTCATTGGGTTTACAGCAAAGTCCATAGCTATAAGTCTACAGCAGATCCGACTCCAAGCAAATTATGTCATTTGTGAAAAAGCTTTGGGTTGGGTTGTTGAGATCGGAGAGGACCGGAGAGTATGATACAATGCTTATACTACCATGGTATGACTTGAATTATTTTTAGGGTAAAATATAAAAACCTCTCCTGAATTTTCTGACAATCATAATAACCTCCCTTATAGTTCCATTTTAACAAATACCTCTCCTGAACTTTTGAGAAACTCAACAAAAACCTTCATTTCGTCACTGTCCTAGACGGAAAACGTTAGATTGATGCACCAGTTTTTTCCAAATATCCATTCTACCATTTTATAAATTATTTTACATACAAAATTACTAAAATAATCCCATTTTAACTCAACAAAAAAATATATTTCAGTAATTTTGAATGTTAAATTACTGAAATGATCGTTAAAAGAGGTTTTTGTTGAGTTAAAATGGGGTTATTTCAATAATTTTGTATGTAAAATAATTTATAAAAGGGTAGAATAGGTATTTGGAAAAAAAACTGGTGCATCAATCTAACATTTTCCATCTGGGACAATGACGGAAGGGAAGTTTTTGTTGAGTTTCTCAAAAGTTCAAGAGAGGTATTTGTTAAAATGACACTATAGGGGAGGTTTTTATGATTGTCAAAAACTTTAAGGGAGATTTTTTGTATTTTACCCTTATTTTTATATTACTTTTTCAGAATGTGGCTCACACTGGAAAGAGGAGACTGGATTTTCTCCTCATGGAGCATGCCTCACACCAACCTCACATTGGAAATATCTGCCATTCTTGTATATTATCATTTATGAGAGGAATTTCCAATGTATGATACCAATGTGCTCTGAGGTTGGTGTGAGGCATTGTCTGTGAGGAGTAAATCAAAATTCTCTAAACTACTTTTCTGCCTAGAGAGAAAGATGATAAAATTAAGGGTTTTTAGTAAATAAGGGCAATTTTTTGTCTTGAATATCAATAAAAGATAATATGTTTATAAAATAACAAAAATAAGGTAACTTTTTATAAAAAATATAAAAAACGGGCAAGACACTGTTCATCGTCTTCCTCTGCTCTTATTCATCCGAATACACTGTTCATGCGAGAGGCGGAGCAGGGCACAGGCAGCGTTATCCTTTACGGTTGCTGTTCTGGTCTTGAAGCTGAGAAGAGGTTCAGAATCGCAATGACACCGTTCTCTTGAAGTTCTGCATCACATCGGGTTTGAGGTTTTCTCTCTCTTTTAGTTTCTCCCTGGATTCGATGTTGTTGTAGAGGGGAAGATTGAAGAGGAAAAATGAAGCTTTGACTTCTTGAGCGGGTCTCCGTCTCTCATGGTGTCGCTCACACCAGGCGTGTTGCTGAAGCTCTTACAGCACGCGAGTAACAAAGAGGTGAAGGTCGTTGGTGAGCACCGCTAGATGCTCTTGCAGGTATCGAGATCGTGGAAAAGTAGAGAATTCTTCTTGAAGGTTTCAGACGAGGACATCGATTTGATCTTCAACGATAAGATCCATCTCGGGCAGTTTGTTCACATTGCTCGGCTTGACTCTGGATCGCCCGTTCCATTGCTTCGTGGTGTTAAGCCTATGCCGAAGAGGCTCTTGAAACCGAGCATCAGAAGAGGAGATAAGAGAGATTAGAGGCCTTACAGCCCCAGCACGAGCAATCTTGAGGCGGTTTTCCTACTTGTTCTAGGCAAGGAGTTTAAGATCCATGGCCGCCTAGTGTGAGAGAGCAAAGAACGAAGGGGGAATTGTTCATCGTCTTCTACCTCTGTATTCATCCAAATATTCGATGATATTTTTCAAAACAATCACAGAGGCAGAGGAAGAGGAAGACGATGAACAGTGACATTGCCCTTGATGTTTTTCAAAAAAAATTACTTTATTTTTGTTATTTTATAAAAATATTTTCTTTTATTGATATTCAGGGCATCTGCTAGAAACCCTAAAATTAATGGGACAAAGATGTCCATTAAACAAATTTTAAAAACAAAATGATACATGAATAAAATGACAGTAGAAAAAACTTGCTTGTAGAAAAAAAATACACATAAATGTATTTGCTTGGGTAAAGTAGGTAACTTACGTAGAAATGGATGGGGACTATATATAATGTCCATGATAGGCCCAGGATTTATATGTTTCCAAAATGTAAGGCAGTAAAATTGTAAGGCTAGTAGGCTATGTTTAAGAACTTTTCCTTCAGGCTATGTTTGGTCTGAAGGAAAAAGTAGGGAAGGGAAAGGAAAGGAAAGGAAAGGAAAGGCAAGGAAACCTTTACAAACTTTGTATAGGTTTTGATATCTTTCTCTTCCTTTCTCTACCTTTTCCTTCAAACTAAACATAGCCTTAACTTTTTTATTTCCCTCTAGTTTTCCATCAACCAAACATAGCCTAAGTATACTCCCAATAATGTCCTAATGTGTTGTTTGTAGGTTATTTGGTAACATGAAATAAATCGATAAAATAAAGAGAAAAGATAAAAGAAATGCTTGTTTAGGGGGTATTTGACAAAGTGTATGATTTTGTTTTGAGAACAAAAAAAAAAAAAAAAAAAAAAAAGAAAACGAAAAGAAAACAAAAAATGCTCTAGTTATTGTTTTGAAAAGCGAAAACAAGACATTTTGTTTCCGAAAACAAATCATATCTTCTAAATATGTTTCCTAAAACAAAAACAAAAGTATCACACCTTAAACATTTGGAAAAAAAAAAACTATACACAACCAAGAATATGTTTATACTTTTTGTTTTGTGAAACAATCCACCTTCAAATCAGATGGTTTTTATCTGTTTTTGGAACTCACAATTCACAACAAGAAAAAAACAATTTAAGTTGAAGAATGATCCCTTGGTATCTTTTGTTTGTCCCCAAAACAGTTTTATCAGGGTTTATAGTAAGACATATAAATAGACAAATCCATATAAGCTAATTCTCTCAACATTTTTGGTAGTTTTGTAGCTAATGATTATGCTGGTTTTGGTATTTTGATCCTTGGTTGAGACAGTTCTTTCTTAGCAGCTAAAGACATTTCAGATCACCCTCGTTCTGAAATTTTTTTTCAGAAGCTTTTGCTGTGTTTCAAGGTATTCAATCCTTTCGTGGGCTGGCGTTATCTTCCATCGTCTGTGTGCACTGCAATTGTAGGCCTCTCCTTCAATCTACTTAAGGAGTCTCAGATTCTGTTGACCACTCTATTTGGTTTTTGCTTCAGGACATTGGAAGTGAGCTTCACTTTTTTGTTGGTGTTGCCTGGGTTTTTATGGGTAGAGCTGAAAATTTTGTGGCCCACTCTTTTAACTGCTAGAACTAGCCCTAAAGGAGTCAGGTTCCAGCATGCTCCTTCTTGGCTTTCAGGCCTTTTGATTTTGTTGGTTTTCGGTCTATATCCAGAAACTGTTGTTTGCCTTCTATCAGTATTGACTGAATTTGCTTTTTTACCCCAAAGAAACACACACACACATCAAGAGAGATGCTAGAGTCCATGCAAGACCCTGAAACTCCCATTGAATTGGACCAATTCAGACTTAATGGTCCAAAGTATTTATTGGATTGCATTGCACCTGGTTCATCCATAATGGATTTATATTGGATTGGATTAGATTAAACCAATATCTAGTCCATTGATAGAAGATAAAAATATAAGTGTCAATGGACCAAGTTTGGGTTGAAACCAATCTAAATTAAAATCAATTTGAACAGGTTGGTCGTCTAGACATTGAATTGGAGTGATCCAAAATGGTCCAAAATGTTCATTGGATTGAATTGGACCTGATTCATCTGTAATGGACTCGTATTAGATCGAATCGAAACCAAGTACCACCTTCTTGGACAGCAAGCAGCTGAGCGACCAGTATTAACCTTCTTCACTCGAGTATTCAGTGGTGATTGGAAATGGCAAGAAAAAAAAGGTAATTCACTTCTCAGTCTACCACTCCTCTATCATTATATCAACCTTCTACATGTACTGTATTTGATGGTAGATGGGCAATAGATTCAAAACGCTGAAACCTGAAAGTTCAAACATGTAACTAAAGTGAGATTAAATACAGTCCTTTGTGATTGATGAAGATGGTGTTTGATATCCAAGTAGCTTTTGGAAGAAACGGTGCCAGTTCAGTATTGGAGATGCCTTTAACAAAAAATGCTTAAAAAGTTATTTGGTTGAGCCATTTATCTCTCGAAAATCGTGTGAACCGTTTATTTAAAAAACATCAATTTTGACGTTTTTCATTTTTAAGACCAAATTTTCACTATTTGGCTTATATGGCGTTTAGTGGTGCCTAATGGAGTTGAGGTGTAAAAAAGTTGTACAAAACGTTTAAAGCAGATTTTGACTCATTTTTCAAGACAAAATCATACAAAACGTTTATCTTATAAATGCCATCGATACCAAACAACCTCGAAGTTTCCCTGCTTCTATCTTATCTGAATGCATTCCTCTGTTAATATTGGGGAAAATCGTAATGCATATTTTATGTATATTTATTTTTATAAATATAATATATTATTATTATTTATTATTTTATTTATGACATCATGAGTTATTAACTGTAAAACCAGAGGCAAAAGAGGTTTAAATTTAATGATCGTGTGATGTACTTGTTCAAATCAAGACAATATATATGTTGTACATATGATATTTTATTTAACTTTTATGACATGCAATAAAATCAAGACAAATGTTTTAAAACAGAGACTGATTATTGGACGTAAAATTTTTCATATTGATATTTTTGTTATTATTCCTTTATCTTTTGTTTTATTGACTGTGGAAGCTTTCATTTTCACCCATTCAAAATTTTTTTGACATAAATGGCAGGAATACAAAGCTTTCTTCATTAAGGGGGCAAAAACATGATTCAAAAGTCTCGTCTTGAACAAAGTTTCTACTCATTTTTTCCTTGATGCAAACGGAGTCCCAGACTTTGTTTCACTATGAGACGCGCGCGGTTTTCAGTCTGAAATATTTTCAGTTTTGTTTTTGCCCCGCTCTCGTTGAGTCTGATATATGGATACAAATGCAACTTCAAGATGCATCATTTTAAAGGCGAAGTCTCCACTTGATTTAAGATGCCAAGCTATGTAACAGTATCAGGCCCATATTGGGACTTGAGAGTGTTTATTGGCCTTTGATAAATAAGTCCAAATAAATGCTTATCCGTGGAAATAAACTTGTTTTCAATAAACACTGTTTTCAATAAACACTTAAGCACTCAAGAAAGGTGTTAATGTTAGCTAATTGATATGTAATACTCCTATTATTTAGCTATGGTCTTGCAGTACCCTTAAGTTTTCTGACAATTGACTAGTTCTACCCCTGTCGTTAATACCATTAATATTCCATCGAAATTCATATATAATTTTTTTTTTCAAAACCCAATTTTGCCCTTCATCCCTCTCCCTTCTTCACCATCCCTCCATTCTCAGAGGCGGTGGTGATGCTGGTGGAGGCTATGGATCTGGCAGTGGTGGAAGCTATGGAATTGGCGATGGTAGTGGCTATGCAGGTGCTACTAGCGGGGGCTATGGAGGTAGTGGTGGCGGCGGGGGTTATAGAGGCAGTGGTGGCGGTGGTGGAGATTATGGAGGAAGTGGTGGTGGTGGTGGTGGAGGTTATGGGAGTGGCGGTGGGGGTGGAAATTATGGCTTTCACAGGATGGTGGTGGAGGTTGCAGCGATTCAAAATCCTCTCAAGAATAGATGATGGAGGCCCATCTCACTCCTAGGGGCGGCACCTCCTAGGATAAGGCCAAGAGTCCAAGATAAGCCAATGAAGGATAATTCAAGATCCATCAAGACTCTTCCAAGACTCCAAGACTTATCAAGAATCCAAGCTTATMAAGACTCTTCCAAGATAATTCAAGAATTCAAGAATTATCAAAATTCAAGAATTCAAGATCCATCAAGAATTCAAGAATTCTAGATAATCCAAGATTCATGCAT